TATTTTTCTGGTGTGTTATTTTCTCGTTAATAACAAATTGTGTAAAGCATATTAATAAATTGTCGACTTTACGAATCTGTACATGAAACAGGTATGGAGTTCCACCTCCCCCAGAGCAAAAACAATATTTGTTTAACCAAAAATGGACGTTTGAGGTTGACGAATCGTTCGCACAGTTGATGGTAGGAGCACAACCCCATTTGCCATTGTTACTTGTGAAGGCAATAAAAAAGACGAGTACTCATTGTTTACTTTAGGCGCGGATATGTTGACCACTAAGTTCGGTACGCCATACACTTCATTAGATTGTGAAATTAGATTTCAGCAATTTAGGGAAAGGCATAGGGTGATGCGAGAGATGATTACAAACTATGGTATCAACTACTGCTGTGAGAGTGGGCTCATGTGGGGGCCAAAAGAATCATAGAAGAGTGTCTTTACTGTACGTTTCGTGGTCAAATTCCACGCTACTATTACTTTTCGACCTTGGTGTCCAACTGTTTAATTGACATTACTAATGTTTTGCAGGATGAACCTATTAGTCTAGCATACGAAACAATGGGCGACCCGCAGTGGTCGAAATTGCAGATCATTTTTGGTCATGTACACAAGGACACGGTCCACCCGGATGTGGAAAGTGCTTCCAAACGTGTTATGACTGTTGAGGAAGATGTTGATAGTTTGAAAGGAAAAAAACCACCCTTGTAAAATTGTATGTATTTTAACTGTCAGTGAGGCAACTACTACTATATCGAGAAAATTGCATGTTATGTTTTCCTAATTAAATTGGAGACCTTGTTTAATCTAATTTGTGCTCCTCCAAATTGTATTGAGCTTGTCAATGTACTCCATTGTCACATTGTGACAATCTTCGTTCTTCCTGATAAATTTGTTGTAGTCAAACCAAATGTTGCTTTGCAATCTATGTGTACCGAATGACCACACAAAGCTACATGATATGAAATTTCAATGCATGCTTATAGGTACCTTTCAGCTTTTCTGGAAAGCTGAATTGATTCCAACATATGGATATGACGACTCTATCGTGTGACTTGTATCAACTTTTGCATTATTGTTGTCGAGTCCATATCATTTCTATTTAAGCACCTCACTGCACTCCAAGGCATTCCACATTCGTAGAACCAAAAACAAAAACACTTGCGTTTCGATATATAATTAGTTTGAAAGATTTAAACTTGCGATGGCTCCCAATTTCGGTGTAGTGCAGGCCGACTATTTGTACGACCTACATTGGACCCCAAAGTTGGACGAGTTTTTAATCGAGTTTTTGCTTGATGAGAAGCGCGTTGGTTTGTTTGTTCCATTTGCAGCTAACAATAGTAGTATCGTCGATGCTATGAGGGAGATAAATGGGTTTTTTGAAACCCGTTTCACGTCGGACTATATAAACCAACGTGTTGACAATTTGGGCAAAAGATACCATATATTCTCTCAACTTAAGCAAAAAGATGGGGTTAAATATGATGTGGCGAACAATGTTTACCATGCATCCGACAAGAAGTGGCATCAGTTGGTAAAGGTGAGTCTTCATAATGATGTTTTTCTCGCTTTATTACAATTTTGTTTCAGTTGCAAAGTCAAATAAATTTTCATTTGCATGTAGTGGGATGAAATTTCGCTAGCTTACATGGAGGAAGGTGATCCACAGCATGAGAAGATAGTGGAGTTTTTTTGCGTGGAGCCACCATACATACCTCCATTTGAGTATCATGTTTTGTCTGACAACGACCCGAAGAACCTACGAATGCAAAGAAGGGCCACGAAAAATGTGTTGACATTATAGATGTCGAGGGCTGTAGTGCATATCCTCATCCAAAGAGTAAGATGGTACCGTACCCTGTTCGAAATGACATCCCACGCAAAATCCAACCACCTCGTCCAGCCTTTTATGCGGGTAGAAGTTCAAAGGCCTAAAAAAAAAACTTTCAATACACAGTCAGACCAGCTCAACTGATGCATCTGTCAGTCAGTTACCAAAGTACCACTCATATGACCCTCGAGCGGATGAAGTAGAAGCAAATTCTGCGTCCACTGCGTGTTCTGCCACTCCAATGGATTATACACCGGGTTGGCCGACGTACTAGGTCCTTCATATCATGAATCCTTTACTTTTGTGTTCCTACTTGTGTGTTAGTGCTTGTTGTTCTATTTTAATATTTGTGTGTTAGTGCTTGGTTGTTGGACATGTTGATAGTGGAGGTTACTAAAAACAATAATAGTGTGTTCCCGTGAGTCCATGGTGGTGTGTTGGTCGACTAATGGGTCTGTCACTCAACCAGATGCAACTTTGGAGTCCACTGCATGTTCTGCCAATGCTACGGAAACAAGGTTCGATTGGCCCTAGAACAAGGTTCGTATTTGTTTGCTAGTTCACTTCTATTATGCTTTGCATTTGCATCTGTGGTGTTTGTTTTACGAAGTGTGGTATGTGGTTTGTGTGTACCATGTTGATCTCCATCCTTGCTTTTGTTTGTTTTGTTTTCCAAATTCTGTCATAGTAGTATGTTTTAGGTTTTACATGTTTCACGAATGTGCTAAATCGCCTACAAGAAAAAACATTAATCCACGAAAAATTTCCAACATAGTTCGCATGTTATTTCGCACAATTTCATAACATCGTCTACTACATACTACAACAAATCCACTACATACTACAAATCCATGAAAAGTTTGCATCATCCGCCCAAAATGAATATTATCCCGAAATACCAAAGGGGCATTACCAAAACGTAGTGTCCATCAATATCCGACTAGGTAAAGAAATCCAACAAAACAGAGTGTTCAACATCCTGTTGGGTTCGCTAGTACCATACGGGTGAAACGCAACAGAATAAAATTTTTCAAAACATGTATTTATCATATAAATACACAACCCGTAAATACACAAAACGAATTAACAGATCGTCATCTTTAAAAACATGTAATAATACAAATTTTGATTTGTTACAAGTGATATCAAATATTACCTTTTTCTCTAACTCCTTCTAAGACGACGGTGTTTGGGGAAATCAATTCCCGATTTGGTAACGATCACTTCGTGTTATTACTCGCTTTAGGAATCCAGATGTCTTCCCTCTAACAGTGTCCACCTTTTGGAATCCAGCACCGAAGTAACTCCTTCGCTAGTAGAAACTACTCGGTATTATAATCAGTATAGAAATATATTTGAGGAGATATACACCAGAACTCGTTCTTGTTACAACACTTGAATTAAACACTAACACTTTAGCTCTCAATACTTGAATCAAATTCTTGCAAATATGAACATCAACCATGCCTATATTTATACTAAACTTTTTAGTAATAAAATATATATGTCTTGTATAACTTTTACAAGAAATGATAAAAAATCTTGAATAACTTTCCCAAGTAAAGTAAAAAAGTCTTTTATCATTTCTACAAGTTAATACAAGAATATAATAATGTACAAGATCCGATCTTCTTCCATTATTATATTTATTATTATTATTTAATCTTTAATCAATATTAAAAATCAATAATAATAATAAACAAATAATTTTAAACTCTTTTAAAATTATTTGTAAACATATATATTCCATATTTAAAATTCTCCTCATAAAATAATCATATTATTATTTGGATATGAATTTTAAAATCTAATTTTAAAATCCAACTATTAATTTAGTAATTCCATTAATCACTAAATTAATATCTAAAAAATACAATTAATCAATCCAATTGATTAATTTAATATATTCCTTTAATTGACATCTAATCAAAATTAGATTTGTCAATTAATTCTAACTCTTTAGAAATACTAATATTTGCCTTCATACAAAAATTGGTGTGACCTTTTAGGTTCACAATTAATACTAGTAGTGGGCTTACAACTCTTTATAATTTGAGTTAATCATATTAACTCTTATTCTTGAATTAACTCCTTAATTCAAGAACCCACATATTATGGGAACATCTAGCAAGTAGCATGAATCTAGTTTTAAGTGAATAGCGAGTAAACCTATTTCGATTACAAGTCCATACATGTAAAATCCTTTCAACATCCAATTTCCCAATTAAATCTTGGGTATGTTTTTGTCGAAACCCAAATTCATTTAATAACTATGATTCCATTTCAAGTTTAGTAATTCGTGTATCAATCTTTATTCATCCCGCCTTGGCCAAGGAATTTGAATTATTAACTATGAAATACATAAGAAATTCACTTATCTTTATAAGTGTCGAATCCTTTGTTGGCCACTGACAAACTTCCATACATATTAATATAATACCCAAAATATCCCTTTATACGATTGTGCTAGCAACCAAAAGGATAAACCAAAGTAGAATATAATATGCACAAAGTTACCATCGTGCCTCAAGTCTAAGGATTAGTCATGTACTATTGTAACATGAAAATTCTTATTCGACAAGAAAAATCTTTCATTAAGAATTTTCGTACGGTCATGTTCAGTGAACTTTCTCTGACAAGCATTCACATATATGTACTTGCGTCCCACGCTAATGTTGATGGAATGCAGCATTCTTGTCCAACAAGCATACATCATATGTGCAAGTCTTTTTCGGATTATTCGATATCCCATCTCGAAACATCCTACGACTTGAAACTGTATTTAAGATCACAGCTTTCAAGGTATATTCCATGATCACCATCTCTATGCGCAACCATACCTTATAACCATAAGCGATCTAGGGATTTTATCTTAAGTGCAATTATAGGATAAAAGCTTATTCTTAAGATAAAGTAATGCCTTGTTAATAATATAATTCCAATAGATTATATTTACAAGTAGAATACATCCAATCCGATTGGAACGCCGGGTATCCCACTCTAACACATCCTTCACAAAAATTCATGACATCATACCCGATAAGTTTGCAACATGAACCCAAAGTACCACACACTCCACTTGAGATTTCACAAATCGACTAAATTTTAACTTTGAACCTCATGTGAGAGGAGACTGAAGGTGCAAACATCACCTACACCAATGTTGTTGTTATCGATGAACTACCGAGCACCCATTCTGAATGAGCTTTTTCCCATGCTCGTGAATTATATCGACATCATAGAGGTTGTCGCCAAACAGCAAAACTGCGGAATTGTAGTTCACGTACTGCCCTTCAATGAAACCCCTCCAAAACTGCATGGGGATTGCCTAAAAAAAAAGAATACAAAACCAGATGTTATACAATTTGAAAATTCAACAACATTACAATTGAAGATATAAAATATACAAGTCTTGTCAGTTACTATTAAATGGACCAACATACCAAACGTGCACGCTCCACATGAGTTGGCTTAAATTCCCTAGTGAACTGCGGCTGCCTCTCGCATCCGTTAGGCTGCATCACCCACACTTGAAAGTCGAATATTGTCCTGGGATGAAAAACTAGGATGCAGCCCATGGATATGTATTCTGAATGAATGAACTCTCTCCACCCATCCACTAATGTTCGGCAGTTGTTCACCATAGTCAAAGTCGTCTCGTACTTACGACCCTCAATGGTCTGGATACTGAACCTCTGTGGAACACAACACCATGGTAATGGTAGTGTGTGGCCGGAGACAGTTCCAAGAGACATACATATTGGAAAAGACAATTACAAAAAATTTGAATTTCAATAAAATAACAATGCAAAAGTAAAAGAAACAAACGTACCATCGTATGGGACGTGCGAGATACAATTGCCTTAAAAAAATAAGGACCATCAGCAGCAGCAACAATATCAATATCCATGTTGTCCATCCTATATCTGTCGTCACAAGATTTCCAAAAACATAATAAAGAAGAATTGCATAATACAACCTCAACACTTTTCATTTGCACTTATACGAAAAAATGATCATAAGCAAAACAACAAAACCGAGAACATAAATAACAGTACGGTTATAAAGTTTTACATACGCTAAATTCGTCGGTTATACATCAAAAAGAACCGACATAGCTAAACCAGCAAAGTCAAACAACCACAAATACTGCTATTAAGTCTTCAAAACCCACATCAAAACAAACACATCAGACAGATACAAAGATCTTCAAAACATATATCACAAACCCCGCATGAAATAGTAACTCCTATCATAAGCAAATCAAACCCATTACAATCAGCCTATAGTCGACCTTCGTGCATCATTTTAACCATGAGACATTTGTTGTCCTGTGACAGGCTGAAGAACATTGACAGTTCCTGTGGATTTTTACATAGACGCATGGTGATAACCATTTTATCTTCATTTGACAAGAAATGCATGTTAGACAATGAGTAAAACACTGCACTTCTTTTTCTTTTTCTCCTCGTCGTGCTCAAACCCAAGCCTACTTGTAATGCCATTCAAGCTTTTTGCTGTCTTTTGAGAGAATGATTCCATGATATCCAGAAATCGACCTTCCCATTGGCTCTCTGCAATCCTTCTCGTAATTTTATTTCTCTTTCCAACCCTCGTACTGGACTCAGATGACGTCCCAAATGTGTTACCCATGACTGGGTTAACATTTCCAAGACCTGGGGAACCATATCCGATGTTTTGATCTGATGGGGCATCGTCATTATCCGACATCGGGTTGTCCTGCGCTTGGACATCATTTACTGCGTCCTCGAAGGCTTGTGCACTTTCACATGTTGCTCTATCTTTCCCAAAAATTTCCGCCCAGTCGTTGATGTATGGGAAAGACTTGTTCCTCAATGATTTTGCATTTGGATCTACCTACATTAGTTAAATACGACGGATGTGCAGAAATGATTACCACCATGGTTTGTTTTCCTAATTTTAGTTTTTTTTTCCTCTGTTACAATATTAATCTACATGAATGGACTTGATTTGAAAGCATTATCTTACCTTCATCCATTCTCTCCAAACTTTATCTTCGCATGAAAAACTTTTAGTGATCTCGCTCCAACCGAATTTTGAATTACCTTTGATGAGTGCCACACTGACATAGTTTTTTCTCCACACATGTATCTTTGAGCTGATGTGTGGGTCTACACGGAGGGTACAGTCTGGAAACTTCAACTTCAATCTTCTTTCAATTTCAAAATTTTACCCCTGCCTGAAACCATTATCAGCTCTCCAACCCTCCAACACCATGTCTTTCAGAATGTCCACTAGGACAGCCTCCTCAGCCGGACTCCAAGTACTTCGTCTAGCTGTTTGTGAGGAGGAAGCTCGCCCGGTGTCCTGAGTACATGAATAGTCCACAGTGGTACCTGTTCTACCAATCGTTTTGCACCAAATATATTATCTTGGACGTTTAAAATTAATGCCATGGTCACAATCAATTGATTTATCACATGACAATGAATTATCCCAAATAATTATTATGGTAAATCCAATAATAATTCGACAAATACATAATCCAAAAAAAAACATGAATGAAAATCCGTGACAGATGTAGTGGTTTAAAAAAGACTAAAAGTAGACATGTATTTATTCACCGCACACTAAACAAACTTTCTTAAACTAAGGAACATTAGCTTGCCAATCATTAAACATATCATGCACCAACTGGTCACGGAAGTGTGTCCATTCTGGGCTAGCCTCCACCTGGTCTATCATATCATCTTCATCATTAGCTCCCGACAACGCACCATCAGGAACCTCAGGAACTATTGATTCAATGGGATCATAGGCCATCGATGTCCGTATGAAATTGTGAAGGAGCGCGCATGCCATGATAATGCGATTTTGGGTTCGAATGGAATAATATGTGCAACTCCTAAGAATTGCCCATCGCATCTTCAAAATGCCAAATGAATGTTCAATCGCATTTCTAGCCTTAGCATGGCGAAGGTTGTACAATTCTCTAAAGTTTTGTGGCCTGCGTGAACCTGTGCCCCACTCTTGTAGGTGGTATCTTACACCCCTATATGTTTCTAAAAAACCCGGACCATTCGTATACCCACCGTCCACCAAATAATAGTTTCATGTTTGACAATTTCATTTAATGTAAATAATTAAAACATTATGGTTCATTTATTTTGACAAGAGGAATGGATAGTGTTTTAGGTAATAGAATGAGTCTAATACCATTGGGAACATGTAGACCATGCGTCCTAGTAACCGCATCACGCAAGACTCGACTATCTGCCGCTGACCCTTTCCATCCACATAACATGTACACGAAGTTCATGTTTCAATCACAAACTCCAAGTACATTCACAGATATACGACTCTTATGGTTTCTATATCGTGCCTTGTCAATACCAGGGACTCGCATGTCAATTTAGGTTCCATCTAGTGCTCCTAGACATCCCTATGGACAAAGAAATACCCAAAAACTTATTAGGTGGACATGGTTGAACGAACAAATTGGTACGCCGGTGAAAAATTCGTTGTAAGTTACCTAGAACCATTTCCACCTTTTGTCGACACAACTTGCCTCAATTGCCTTTGGTTGCGTGGTTAGGATTGAGTGAATTTGGATGACAGCGTTAAGAACTCGGTTAAAGTATTTGCTTATGGTTCGACTGGATCTAACAAAATCAAGCTTTAAAGTGACATTCTTCTTATGGTGAGCTAGGATTGACAGGAAAATAGCCACTTATTCAGTTGGTGGGACATTTCTAGACTACCTAAGACTGCCAGCAGTTTCAAGAAGGTGACACAGACGCCCGAATGAGTTACAATCCATGCGGAGGTTCTCGAGACAAGATGTATCACTCACGTCAATCAACCTTCGCATGTAGTTGACTTGAAGGGGCAGTCTATCACTAACTTGGAATAAAGGGACGT